ATTTAAAAGTAGTATTTCCCAGGGCAGAAGCAATAATGAGAAGGGATTTAGCAAGGCTCTACCTTAAGTAGTCTAGATGCATTTTATGTTCTGGCCATAATTCAATATATTTCTGTGAAAAAGCAATATAACAGGACAAGAGGCGTGCTGGGAGCTAGGTTGCAGGTTGAATGAAAACAAGCAAAAGTGATCTTTTATCATCCAGCTGTTTATGTTTCAAGATGTAGAAAGGAATTTGTAACTACAGAGAATAAGTTAAAAAACCAGTGAATGTCCTGGTCACATAAAAAAGACATTAAAATGACAAAATTTCAAAATTTCAATATTGTATTTTTTCCCTGTGTCTTTTTTTTTTTTTTTTTTTTGGAATAAAGGTATTTGTGAATTATTATTTCTTTTTCAAGCGTAATATATAGAATATCACAGAATAGTCTGAGGGCTGGCAACACCTCTGCTGGGAGGACAGGCTGAGAGAGTTGGGGTGGTTCAGCCCGGAGAAGAGAAGGCTCCGGGGAGACCTTCTTGAAGCCGGCCAGGATTTAAAGGAGGCTTAGAAGAAAGATGGGGACAGACTTTTTAGCAGGGCCTGTAGCGACAGGACACGGGATGATGGTTTTAAACTAAAAGAGGGGAGATTTAGACTAGATCTAAGGAAGAAATTTTTCACACTGAGGGTGGTGAAGCCCTGTCCCAGGTTGCCCAGAGAGGTGGTGGATGCCCCATCCCTGGGAACACCCCAGGTCCGGCTGGCCGGGGCTCTGAGCACCCTGCTCTGGTTGGGGGTGTCCCTGCTCATGGCAGGGGAGTTGGACTAGATGGCCTTTAGAGGTCCCTTCCCACCCAAACTGTTCTGTGATTCTCATATTGGGGCAAATAGCCTTCAAAGCTGGAAAGAAATCACAGGTGATGTTTAAAACCACCGCGCTCTGTGGGAGCACACGCTGGGCTGCTCTAACAGAAGCTATAGGTGAAGCATGCGAATGCACGTCTGACCTCGCTGTCGCATCATTCGTGTCGCATCCATCTAACTCTGTCCCTGGCCTTGTGTTTATGTCATTTGATGGTAAATAGATTTTTCCTACGCTGTTTTCTTCGGTGCAGTCCCCGTGCATTAGGGCTTGGGCTCATTGGGCATCGCACGGACCCCGCACCCCTCTTGTCCTTTACCAGCACCTATATATGCAAAGATTTTAATACACAAATATTCTCTTTGGTTGCGTGAGTTCAGACGAGCGTTATATTTCCCTGGCTGCTATATTGCTGGCTGACGCTTTGAGTTTCCATTTTGCTTATACAGTTACGAGTCATTCATACTTTATGAATACGTTTGATTCATGAATTCCAAAATTCACAGTAAACCAGGGAATACGTGGCTTCCAGCAGCCCCTTGTCTGATATTAACCTATTTCTTGTCCCCAGCGCAAATGAGCATGACTCAGTCTTGCTCCCAGTCCCTTCAGAGCCCCACAATGGAATATAACTACTAATATAACTATTCCACGACGGCATAGCCCGTGTTGAGATTTAAGGAGTTGGCTTGCTTTTCTTCTGATACATTCATGGTACGGCTTTCTAAAAAACGAAATTTACATTTCACGTAGATGGGAAACCATTTAAAAAGTCTTGTCTATTAACACATTTCTCCTTCTATATAGCAAAGATAAAATGATATCTTTATTTTTTCCTCTAAGGGTGAGCACTAGAGGCTCATTTGGGAAGGGCAAGGCTGAAGACCTTAAATACGCCAGCAAAGGCACGTGTTTTCACTAGCGCTTTCACCACAGAAACTATTATTCTATAGGGGAATGCAGCTGTTGTTTTATATGGGAACGACATTCAGTTAGGATTATCTATATAGCAGCATCTTATTGTCATTGCCGTATGAGAACAGGTCACTGCGGTGTTTTCCTCGATGCAGGGGTTTGGAAAATAACCTTATTTCAGGGAAGATATTAAAATAATCCCTCTTCCAGCTGTACTCTGTAATTAATCCAGACTGCATTAATATTCAGTCCAAAATGAAGAGACCTTCAGGATCAGGAGAGGAGGAACGTGAAGTATTTAGCCACGAAACTGTTAATTTTTTTTTTTTTTTTTCCTTGCCATCCACGATAAGCATCTCTTTGTGCAGGAGGGCGGTGGGAGGCAGGAGGAATGGAGCTGCTCGTTCTTCTGTTGAATCACCAGCGCTGGGTCCAGAGGGATGTTCGGCTCCTACAGAGGAACGTATTGAATTCTGTTTCCTTCGAAATGTTGAGCCCTGGCCAGTAAAAGCTTTGGTCTCCCCCAGAATTTTAGGAATGCTGTTACGGAGTTTTGTCCGTTGAGCTGCTCAACAGCTTCGAATCAATGAATTAGTAGAGGGTAATAATACAAACAGATGATAATTTGTTTTAGGGAAGTAGTTATAACTCATTTTGTGTTTTCCGAGGCTGAACTACCGTATTATGCCCTGGCTGCAGAAGGACATGGTGTCCTGTTCGAGTATATAGAGATTTAGGCATGCATACATTGAATTAATAGCACTTTTTTTTTTAATAGCCCAATAGTTCCGCTAAAGAACATGGTGAGTAAACCAAACAAAAATGTATTAAGTTGTCTCAGGCGTTTCTTTAGCTACTTGTTGGCCCTTCACCAATGCCTTTGCCATAAAGTCAGCCTTAAGTTTTAGCGAGACGTGAGCCAAAGAGCTTTCTCATTTACATCAGCAATAAAGAAAAAAGCATGAAAGAGGGATATTATGGGTTGTGATTTTTGTAGGCATTTGGGTTATAATACATAATGTGGTCTGGCATATTAATCCAGAGAAAAAGCTCATAAAAAAAAGAGGACTCTCGCAGTTGCCCACTCCGATGTTTGAAATGTTTTCTCCTGATGCTAAATGGTCCTTGTTGCAGAATATAAAAGATTTATTCCTGGGTAAGGCTCTTCCGTTTTTTTAAAGAAATCCTAATAAATAGACCTTATTTCTCTCCATGATCTATTACTTAAAGTATAAGCACAGCGAACCGAACCAGAAAATCCTTTTAATATTGTTTTTTTGCTTAAATTCTTTATTAAGTTATATGAAAAGGTGATTAAAATAGGGCTGCTGTGCGTTTAGTTTGTTCGAGTTCATATTGCTGCTGGCTGGTTTCTTCTCAAGTGAACAGCATTAATTAGGTGTATAGAAAATTTGTCTTACTGACTTCATGGGATGTCTTAGATTGTGGTGGATCCTACTGCGGGGAAATACTCATAACGTAATCAGTATTATTTAAAAGAAATATATAAATACATGATAATGTGCTAGCTTGCGTTGAATATCAACGTATTCTGCTTAGAAGCTTCTTGCTGTCTCTCAGCTCACTGAGAGGACGGGACGGGTAAATCCTACGGAAATGTTAAATAGCATCCCGTCTTTTGATGCCAAAATGCCTATTTTTGGGGAGAGGATGCCTGGATTTTCATTGCCAGGAGAGTTTTGGGGGTTTCAGTGGTTACCTGGAGGTGCGGGCACCTTTGATGCCCTCCTGAGGGTGGGTAGAGGAGGGATGCTGGGTGCGGGGAGGATTTTTGGGGAGAATAAGCAGAAAACAAGTGTGAGCAGCCTGAGAAGATGTGAAAACTCTGTAGGGGAGCGTTCCTTAGCTGTGTGTCTGAAATAATCTCTCAAGTATAATCTGCTTGCTCGGCAGGTTTCGTCTATCCCAGAACTTGTTTTAGTCAACTAAAGCGAATTCATATGCAACAGCTTGAATTTAAACAAATCCCTGTATTCAAATAGAGGGGGAAAAATAAAAATCACATCGTTATTCTCCTTCGGTTCTTAAATCATTAAATCTAACCAGATTGCTAAATAAATCTGCCTGGGAAGGTAAAAGTAGACGTGAGAGCGGGCGTCATGCAGGTACTGTAGGTGTCGAACACTTTTTCGCCAAGGTATAATTTCATTTGGCCTTTATTTTTTGCTTTTAGTTGCAACGTTAATTCTGAAAAGGTCATTTGAAAAGCTTCAGATTATAGATGTAAAGCCCTTTTAATCTTTTCTAATAAATAGCTGAGTAGGGAATAAATCTATTGGGAGTTGGGAGCTGAGCTCTGGTACTAAGCCTCAGCACAAAATGTATTTGTAATTGTAATTTAGCCTCCATACACAAACAACACTTAGATATTATCTTGCGTATAATTACCTTAAATAAGTTTGGCTTAGAAGAAAAGGTGAATGATTATCAAAACTGGTTTAATAAAGGAGACATTAATTGGACCTGGCAGCTTAGCAGATTCTGTCACCGTGGGCCGGATTATTATTAAAGTGGTTTAGGGAGAGTTGAAAATACCAGTTTTCAGTGAAGCTGAGCTGCAGTTCTTACGGGTTTCCAGAAGCTCTTCTGTTCAGAGGTTTCTTTGAAATGGCAATAAATGACTCGCTGCATTAGGTGCCTCGGCAAGGCAGGGTTTTACTAAAACCCTTTGCATAACAAAGACTTAAAAGCATTTTGATTTTGGAGAAGCAACAGCAGCAAATCGAAACGACAGTGTCTGAAATGCTGAAAACACTCTGGGTTATGCCGGTGCTATATATGACACTGTCTAACATCTGAGTAGCCTTCAAAGCGTTTTTTTTTTCCCCCTAATTCCATATATAATTAAAAAGCAGCTTTCTCTAGCTCATTAAAATTTAGAGTCTTGTTGGAGCAGTGTACTTTTATATTTATTTAAATGAATAAAGCACAGCCTTAATATAGACTGTAATAACTTCAAATACTAAATCTCTCTTGTACAGCTAACACTTTTATTTTTAAAGTGTTTATCTGCCCTTCCTGAATACCAAATTGAAAATTAATATCGTCCTCAGAAGCTCATCGTGTTATTTTGTAGACCATTCAACCAACTTTCACCACGTGCTTTTTATTAATTATACAACGATAGCAGAACCCCCCAAAGTTACGTTGTTAGTGACGTGCATTTATCTGCGGTGGCTTTTCCAACGTAACGATGGCATCCCTCTCTTTTCACAGGCTTTCGGAAACGCAAAAACGGCACATAACAACAACTCGAGTCGCTTTGGCAAATTTATTCAAGTGAATTACCAGGAGACGGGCACCGTGCGCGGGTGAGTAGGGATCGCGTTGAAGATACTGTACGTATTCTTACCTTAGGCACGAGGGGCCTAAATAGGCTGTTGTAGGGGATACACAAAAAAGAAGGTTGATTTTTTTTCGGCCAGTATGTTTCCCAAAACAGAGCGGGGCGGGAAGAGGGGGGAATTTAGCATATTTAAGTCCATTGGTATGAAAATGTTGGCATATCCGAGCTGCACATTGAAGTGTGAATACACCTGAGGTGGCTTCAAGCCAGTTGAGCTCTCCTCAATCATGATGTCAACTTTATAATTAAGCTGAAATGGAACTTCTCCTCTTAAGATAGCAGGTAGGGCAGGAAAGGGGAACGTTTTAGCTAGGATTGGGTTAGGGGGCTGCAGCACGATAGGAAGGACGAGGCTGAGCGAACTGGATTTGCTCAGCCTCAGGAAGAGAAAGCCAAGGGGGGATTTAATCTCCAGCTGCCTGATGAGTGTTACAGAGGCGATGGAGCCAGACTCTTCTTGATCGCTGTCTAATTCCCCATATGCTTCGGTCTCTACCCCGACGCCGTTCTTTAACCCACCCCTTGAGCAGTTAGGGCCTCTATTCTTCCCCCGTGCCATTGCAAGGAGGTGCTTGTCTCCGTCGTGGTTCTCCACAGGTTATTTCAGCATCTCTTCTGCTACCCAACGCTCGTGGGACGTACAGCTGTGACTCAAACCTTCCTTCTCCTGGGCAGGGCTGCAGCAGAAGTGCTGCATGGTTGGAAGCCTATGGATGAAACCTTCTGGGTGGGCTTACCTAAGCCTGGCTTTCTTTTTGGCTTTAGACAATTTACACGGCATCAGGTCATCACAAAGTGACTCAAGGCAGCTGTAAATGAGCAGGGCTTTGTTAACGCTGCTTTTCGTCCGGGTTAATTAACTCAGTTGGAAAAACAAAGAGTAGAAGTGGCATTCCAGGGGTTGTATGATTTCTGCAGCTAGCTAAAAGATCTCTTGCTGGGGCTTCGCTGTTACTTGACAGAATTGCTTTTAAAATTCTTTCTTTCGTCTTTTCCGGCAGAACAGTATCACACAAATAGCTTCCATTAATTTTTCAGATGAGCTTGGGTACTTTGTGTACCTTCCCGCTGTTTTTTCATCCTACGTCAAATCTGATGGTCTCTTTTTTTTTTTTTTTTTTTAATTTTAGTTCTTTATTTCTGGTGAACGGTTGTCTTAAAAGGATAAGCCTCAATTTTTTCAATACCTACTGAAAATACAGGGTAACAAGAATCCAGCAAATGCCCTAAATATCTTGACATGCTATGTCAGCTCTGTGGAAGTGGCCTTTATTTATATTTGTCAGATAGGTGCAAATAACATTGTATTTGTATACTCTAGTTCATAAAATAAAGGGAATTTTCACCTTTCTTTAAAAAAATGCACTTTCTCCATCTTTGGTTGCATGGTGCGATGTGACTGTGCTTTGCTATAAGCTTGCAGCGCTGCCCCAATGAAAATAAAAAGACATTTAAAAAAACCTTTGAGCTGTTCCTAGCATATGAGACCACATTTTTTTTTTTTCTTCAGTCTTACAAAGAAGATCACAGGTATTTTTTTAAAACTTAGCATAGATTTTAAGCACAACCCAAGTCAATTATCATCCTGTATTCTGCATATTATTTGCTTTGTTAATGTAACTGTAATTTGCAGCCCCGAATCGGAATTTTGCTCTGTTCGGAGGCTGAAAATAGCAGCTGGGTATTTGCTTACAAACCCTATGAATATAATAACCCAAAACTTGAAGCGAATTTAAACTTAAGAGACGTAATAGCCAAGAGATTTAGTAGCAGCCAGCCCCGCCCCATGAAATGAAGTCTTTGAAGACGTCTTTAAAATCGACGGAGCATGAGCAATGGCTACAGTTAAGTGCGTTCCCATAAGGCTTTATGAATTTATTACGTCCTGTTCGATGATAAGCGAGTTCTGGAGGAAGGTCTTCGCAACCTGTTCAGTCCTCATAAGATGATCAAAAGCCTCAACATCTGACACGCTCCATAAAATTGCAGAAGAGCCAGATAGGAGACATTTTAATTAAAAGCAACAGTGCATTGGTATAATGGTAAATCTGTGCAATGGCATGAGGCTGTATCTCAAATACCATGAGCTGGCGCTTTCAAACACGCCGTGCTTGGGTCTTTTGCATGTTGCTATTTGTATATGAAATTCAGTCTCAGATTTCAGGTGGTGTTACCTGGTATGCTAAGTACAGGCTCTGTAGCGTGCTTAAATGAGTATTTTGCACGAAGCCGGACTCTTAGAACTCCTTTTCTTTACTCTTAAAGGTGGACTTGACATAATTGACAACAGGAAAGAGAAAGAGAACATTTGGAGACGTCTACTTTTTTTATAGTTTTTATACATTGGTTTTCCTTTTCACTATCCTATTACAAGAGGGGACATATATTCTTCTTGGGACATGAATTCATTATGACCTTTGCCCTAAGCAAGGAGTATTTTACCAAAACAGCATTTTAGTTGCATCTACAAAAAAATGGAAAAAAAAAAAATTATTTGTTTAATTTTCCCTGATTTAAACAGTGGTTTGGACTAGATGACCTCTATAAGACCTTTTCAACCTAAATTATTGCATGAGAGTGATTTTTGGGGGGTGGTGGTCTATAATAAGAGCAGAAATCACAGGGGAGGGGATGAAATGTCAAGGGCGGCGGACGTGATCCAGGTTGTCGTACAGCAACGTGCGGAGCTACTACCCAGGGGTGGGAGTGGGATCTGGGACACTCTGACACCTTTTTCACTCATCTGTTCACCGAGCCTGCAGAGAATTTATGGTGTGGGCTGGGAAGGAAAAATTGGTTTCAGATTAGAAAGGGGATACAAAAAAAACCCCTGTTGGTGAGGAATAGCCGTAGACTATTCTCAGCTTCCTAGAAGGGAATAAACAAGAATAAACCTTTTTAGTGCAAAACATACAGAGGAATAATGCTGCTTTGCTGTCTGTCTGTCTTTACTCCTGTTATCCAGCAAGCTTGTCCCATTGTGGGTTGGATATGCCATTTCCAGTAGCCTCTCCTAAGACCTTCTCTATGAGTTGTCACAAAACCTCTGCAGCATTTATTTTATTTTTTAGTGAAAGGAGGGGGAATTCCTGAGATGCAAGTAATAAATAGGTCTGTCTTCCCCATCTGGAGACTGTGGTGGAGAAGCGAGCGTAGAGGCACCTCCTCGTCCCACCATGCCCAAGGTTCATTGGGTTTCCCAACTCATACGTGGCTGCTAATGTTGGTGCCACGTCACTGGGCGTCTGTAGCTGGAAAAGCATAGCTACATCATCAAAACTGCCAATTATAACTCCGGTTTTTAAATCCCTATCATTACTGGTTAGCATTGTTTGGAAGCAAAAAACCTGTCGAAGCTTGTTTTAGTTCTACAAGCTTGAAAAAAGTATTTAGTATGTAAATTAAACATGTTTATTATGGAGGCTCTTAGGATGTAAACTCCAATAAGGAGCTTTTGCAATTGTTTATTTTTTAACCGTAGCCACAAGTTAATAACCCGAGTTTTTGCCGAGAAGTGGCTCTTCTGGAAGAGGGAACGGTGATTTGGGGACGGATTCTGCAGCTAAAACTGATCTTGCAAACTTTTGCACCCAGATAAATTTCTTGTGTGCACAAATCTTGGTCTGCAAGCAATTTTATTTTGCTGGCTTTGGATTAAATAGGTATCCAAGATTCTTCGTTGCTGTCAAAATTTCCCCCTGTGCTCCCTGCCCATAGGCTAACGCATCTGAGATCATGTTTTTCATATCCAAGTTAGTCTTGGCTTTGTGTCAAACCAAAAAACCCTCAAAAGCCAAACATAATATTGGGCTTGTTCTGCCTAGGAAGAAATTTATACAACTAAATGAAACAAGGCTGAAACTTTTTTTTTTTTTGTGCGTACTAAGACTGAAACGTCCCCGTAAAGCTGTGTTCATTTAAGTTGAATATTGGGTCAATGAATAACGCTTTTATTTTTTCCTTCCAGAGCTTATGTTGAAAAGTACCTCCTGGAGAAATCAAGGCTAGTCTATCAGGAGCACAATGAACGGTAGGTGCCCGTATTTTGCTTATAGGGTTGGTTTTGACTTCTGTACGTGCCAATAGCGTGGCACAGATAGCTTAAAACCCCGCTTGAGCTGGCAGAGAGGGATCAGGATTTTCCTGCTCCTAACCCTGTGCTTCAAAGAGAAATGATGCATTCTGTATTTTGCTGTTTAGGGAGGAATGTACTACCCAGGGAAAATGAACTCCTTTATTTTATTGACAGTCTTTGACTTGCATTTTCTTTATGATTCATGTCATATGGATTATTATGAAACATTTGTTTTCTCGTGCAAACTTGTAAGCTATTTAATATCTAATGTGGGGGGGGAAGATGGTATTTTAGTTTTGTTTTAGTTCTTAACACATTGAAGCCATCAGAAGGGCCTCTAGAAAAAGCTAAAATTATATAGACAACAAATTTAAGTAAATTGTTCTTTCCTAAATGCAACATATTATTTGTTACATACTCCTCTCTCCGCAATTATTACTCTGATTTTATATAAATTGACTGCTTCTAGTTGTCTTTTTCAACTCTTGGCGCTTCATCTGTGAGACAGATGTTGCACGAGGAGTTTTCTCAAACGCTCGTGGGCTGATCCCGAAGTTAAATAGCATATACAACCTTGGCAAATGTACTCTTGAGTGTTGCAAGATGATGAAACTTGGTTCCTCTTGGAAAACGTCCAAATTAAAAGCAAAGTTTCAACTGTCGAAATACTGCCACGCTCTTAGCGTTAATCTGTGCTAGAGGTGTCTTGAAGGAAAACAGGTGAGTGTCGCTTGGGGTGGTTTTAGTAGTAGTAATATTCAAGTATTTTGGATATTTGAGTAGCTGTAAAAATTGATGTTTTTTCGGTTCTGTCTTACAGAACTGAAACTGCAAAATCATTGCCTTTTAAATGGTGGTAAAGTAATAAAAATAATAATAATTTCTGCATTGCAAAGAAATACGTTGTTTTGATTCTACTAAATATGTAGGCATTGCACATGTTTCTGGAGGAAAATGTGACAGTGTCGGCTAGGAATTCTTTAAGTATATTCTAGGGCAGTAGATGTCCTTGGATGGAAAAGAGGGACTTCATTCTCCATTACTTAATAATCTTATACGTCACTGCAAAGTGGGTACAGGCCGTTTCCACACAGTGTTCAGGTCTGAGTTTGGAAGCTGGAAAATCAGCTTATGAGGTTTACATGCGCTTCTCTGCTTAATGCTGCTGTTTGTTTTGAAGTCTAACATCTTTTTTTGTCATTTGTCACCAGGAACTACCACGTATTTTACTACCTCCTGGCAGGAGCGAGCGAGGAAGAGAGATCAGCATTTCATCTGAAGCAGCCTGAGGAATATCATTACCTCAACCAGGTGGGAATACTACGCAGGAATACAATACACGGTCTTGCCTTTTCTACTGCTGTTAGTTAATGCCAACAAAGAAAACGTGTGGAGTATTCAAAACACGTTGTCTTAATGCTCCGTAGGCAGCCTTCCATCATTGGGAATAATTCTGCATTGGCAATCTGAACACCTGATAGGATTAAAAAAAAAAAAAAAAAAATCAGTGTTTTCCAGTTTTGTCCCCTACCTGGGTTATGTTAAATGTTTTGTGTTTTTAATCGTCGAAGGGAGAAACGGTAATAATTTATCTGTTATCTGTGTGAATGTCATTTACTCATTAACATCTGTCTGCCAAGTAGGAGAAAAGGGGAAAATGTGTGATGCTGGTATATATATAATGTCTTGCATGAGGTAATCCTAATTCTTTAGCTTCATGGCTGGCTGTTAGCATGATCCTTTGAATTTAAAAATGTAATGAGTTTAATATAAATAAAAATACAGCAACCATTGGAAACGTGTGAATTGAACATGAGTGAGGTATTGCCAATGGCCAAATAAACTTATACTTTGGAAAATGTGATTTACTTCAGGTATTTAAGATGCAGTTGTCTGCTGATGCTTGTCAGTAGGGACTTTAATGCTTTTTGCTCAAAAAAAGAAAAAAAAATGAGTAGGAATATGTGGAAGAGTAGTTAGTAGCAGTTGATTTTAACTAATTACAATTTTCTTGGAGCTGAGAGATGATTAGCAATAAAGAGTGATTTAAACCAGCTTATGGCTGGAGAGAAACTTATATGCGCAGCGCAACCCAAACAGCCTTTAGTCTTTCTAGAAACATAATTTAACTCTGGAATACGTCTCAATTACCTGGGGCTTTTTAAAGATCTTTCTAAAGTGGATTATCAAAGCCAAAAATCTATTGTAATATTAACGAGTCCCACCCACTCGTAGCAGGATCAGGAAATTTCACACAAATGAGTAACATATTAAGAGCTGAAGGCTTCTTGCTCACTGTCTTTGTGCCTTGGGCGCTGGTTGGAGAACGTGGTGTGATTTTCACCACCATCTGCGCTGCCGTTTTGCAGCGGAAAAGTGCCAAGATTGTTTGGATCAAATGTTTTGTCAGATTTTGTTGGGCAATCTGGTAGTTTTACGTTCGTCGAAAACATTGCTTTTAATTATAGTCTTTTTTTTAAATAGCAGTTTAACGCTCAAGGGCGTTAATATTTAAGGTAAAATAGTAAATCCAATGGCGCATAATGTGAAGATCAAATAAGAACGGGATAATGTAGTTGAAACTTTTATTTTAATCCAAATCAGGATGCTGTGGGCAAGTAGGCTGGAGAAGGATGCTGAGGTACGTCCGGTGGACAAGGGAAGCAGACTCTGATCTTGCTTGAACACAGTGTATGGACAATAGCGACAGTCTGAATTTTTAGGGGTTTTATTATAATAATTTTTAAATTTTTAATAATTAGAGTTAGTGTTAGAGAGACCATTTAACACTGACAACTATGGGAAAATGGCTCCTTTAGATGTGTTCAGGGCATCATTTCGTATTAAGGCGTTCTGACAATGCAGTAGCAGTTTTCCCGTGCCCCGTAGGCAAAGGGGAAAAAGGAAAATGGGGAGAAAAAAGGAAAAAGAGGAAGTGGAGGAATAGGGAAAGGAATCTCTAGAAACGTGAGAGAGGAAAGTAATAAAACGGCTCCTGAGCATTTACAGTAGCTTCTTAAATGTGTCCTAGAGAAATCCCTGCCTTTTTGAAAGGAGAAAGAACGAGCTCTGAAATGAACCTAAGTTTTTAACTAAAAATTAAATATTACAATTGAAAAAGCATACGATATGGTGCCAGGCCACTTAAGGGGGGCCTGACTCAGTCCTTGAGTCAAGCGTTATTTTCATCCTCAGCTCAACGTTGTGTTGGGCAAAACAAACGTGCATTTTCTATTGCAGATGAGCAGTAATCTATTTAGATATTCCATGAAAACGGGCTGTTATTTTGTTGATCTGTAAACGCAGGGAGCAGGTTGGCAAAAAAAAAAGAAAATTTTTTTTAAAAAGCAAATTTACTTAAACTGTCCCCGGAGTTCGAATAACTTCTCCATGTTTCATACCAATGGCGGGTATGCCTGCCATTGCATACCCTGCAATTTGCTGAATATTTTCTGTGCTGGTTATTCACACTTACCCATTTTGAAATTAGTGATTTGCAGGATTAGGTCCTTATTGTAAGTCCATTAAGAGCTCTGGTGCCATGTGTCTCTCCCTCTTGGAAATGGTCACTGACATGTCCTTCTCTCAGCTCCATTCCTGGTTGGAAAAAAAGTACAAATTCCTAAAAAGCTTTCAAGTGTTGCTTTCTAATCGGTCGGAGAACTGCACTTTTCCAACACTTACATGTGTCTAGAGGGAAGGTTGAGAGTAGAAACAAAAATCTGCTCTTCAGTGTGCTTTTTACATCACTAGCTCTTCAGCTGTAGGTGAACCAAAGTTTTCTCCAACTGTGGAGGAAAAAAGATTTTAAAATCCATTAAACTTATTGCATGAGTCTTGAAAGCACTGTAAGGAGGAATCAGAAGCACCATAAATGCAAAAGCATTATAAATCTTACCTTTAAAAAGAATGAAAATAAGGAACGACTATGCAGAATAACAACATTTATCTTACTTGGAAAGTTGGCGTTGCTGCCCTGGTTAAAGAGCAGCAGGTAGTGGGAGTTACGGTTGGTCTGAACACTACTTAACCCGGTCTGCCTTGCTTTCAGATGACAAAGAGACCCCTCAGACAGAGCTGGGATGATTATTGCTATGACTCTGAGCCGGTCAGTACAAGTACCCGCGTCTTCTGTGTTGCTGGTGCAGGGCTGCTGCTCACTTGAATTTGTTAGGTGCACCAAGACCTGAGCAGAAAACAAAGTCAAATTAAGTTTAACCTATTAATTACCCTGCCCTGCAGTGGTGTCGCTTGTGTTATTAGCTCATGACAATACAGATGTTTTTTCCCTTGCTCTTTTATGGTTCCTTCCATCTGGAAAGCTTTGTCAACAGTTGGATATGGTCATTTGGTTTTAGCAAACGAAGGGGTTTTTTGTTCCTTCTTATATGTTCTCTTATGTTCCTTTTGTTTCTTTTTTGTTCCTTCCGTAATACATGATGATTTATGGAAATTGTGATACGGCAGCAATGTGAAAATTGGAATTCCTTTCCGATAAAACGGCAAATCGGTCTCTCAAAGCCCTAAGAGATGCATCCTAAGAGGTGCATCAGTTCATGATGGTTGTAGCAGTGTATCTGCTCTCCAGCTTCCAGGGAAGAAAAAAGACAAACCCAAAAACATCCCCCCCAACCATCTGTGAGAAAATCAAATCCTGATATTATTCAGAATGCAAAAAACGTTCCTTCTCTTAAAATAGTTCTGCTGACATGATCATCCTTTCCAAATGGATCGACCCAAAAAAGGGAACGGTGAAGCTTCTCCCCTTTTCCTGGCTCCTCTTGTGCAGCCGAGTCAGAGGTGGTGGCTTCGGCTGGCGACGCGCTGTGGGTGTCCGTGTGTGCTGTGACGTTCTCTGTTGGCTTTGTCTTGCACGGGGAAGCATGTTTCAGATCAGCTGCATGTTGTTCCTGTTACTTTTGCCATGTGCTTAAAGGTTGCTGAGCACTAGCTGATGCATCTCAGAAGAGTAAGAGGTAATCTGTGAAGGAGCTGGGTTTCGAGTGTCTTAACAGCAAGATTTGGCTGCAAAATCCTTAGGTGGGGAGGAGGGAAAGGCAGTCTAACCCCCCAAGGCTTAAAAATATTGAATATTGTATTGGCGTCCTTAATACAGCAGGATCCTTAGAGGTCCTACACGAGCAGGGAGTGAAGAGCAGATGCTTTTCTACATACTGTAATAGACTTTCCTCAGTTGCAAAGACTCTAGTTGCTTAAGGAATGGGTTAGGACAATTTACTGGAGGAATTAAAATGAAAACAAACCCTAAATTTGATACCTTCTCCTGGAGGGGCCGATAATGCCCGGCAAGCTTGGGGTTACTGTGTTATATGGAATGGGTTAGGACAATTTACTGGAGGAATTAAAATGAAAACAAACCCTAAATTTGATACCTTCTCCTGGTCCTGGTCTCCTGGCCCCTCCTGAGGGGCCAATAATGCCTGGCCAGCTTGGGGTTACCTTGTTATATGTCCTTACTTTGCACGGCACGACTCTGTGCCGTTACAGTTTGGCTGTTTTATTTCGCTCGGGATCATTTTCTGTGATATTTGTGGTAAATCACACCTTTGCTTCAGTTGATGAGTCACTCTTAGGCATACCCTGGACCTCTCCCCATGACTATGGACTCAACCCACCGCAGACATCTGGTTTAAAAAGAAACCCTGTTTATTATATCCTCTTTAAACTTCCCATGGAAATCCATGGATTGCTTCTATGTGATGATAGTAAGCGGGGGACTCGCTTTTCCTGGGAAACTAAATGCTCTGGCAGAATATTAACGACGCGTTTGGTCTGTGGGCATGGACTTCGTAATGCTTGTCTGCCCTAATATCAAGGAAGCTCCTTTTTTTTTTATAATTATCATGCATTTATCACCCATTAGGAAACAGTACAGAGCTGAAACACTACGGAGAGCATCCACTTTTAAGTAGATGATTTGCAAAAAGCCTTTCCATGCGGATTAATGAGTTTTGCAATTGTTATGTAAATCGTTAATTAAATTGCCTTTGGCATAGATTGTGCTATTTCTGAGTTGTCTACGGTATTCTGCTGTTGACTCGTGACTTAAATTTGGATGAATGATGCCACAGAATGAAATTGTCCCCTGGGATGTGACGTACCACTAAAAGCGACACTTGGTATCTTTTAAAAAAAGTTTAAAAAAAAAGATTTATTTTCAGAATTTCTGGGTATATTATTGTCCTGCAGACTCCAGGTCCCACCGTAGTGGGTGTGAAAACTTCTCCAGGTTCTCCTCAGCGTATGTGTAGTGGCTGAAGAAGCCGGCTGGCCAAGGCTTGAGTTTAGGGGGGACAACTTCTTATCCTGATATTTTATGGTGTAAATAATTGCATTGTTGATGCCTGCTGATCTTACTGATATATAGCATAGAACTCTTTGTTGCATTCCTTGGGATAATATATACAGACAAATGCCTTCTACATCTCTTGAAAAGGGTAATTTTAAGTCATCTATTCAGAAAAGGTGAAAGTGTCACTTTTCTAATGAGTATGTCCTAAGAACACGCAGGGGTGTCGTTTTCTCGTTAAATTTAAAACCCTGCGTTCGTTGATGCTGCATGTTTTAAAATGGTCTTACTGTGCAACGTCTCTAAATTCACTTTGTCTGTGCAGTATTAAGTTGTTGTCCCTGGGGTCCATTGGTAAAAAACCTTCTATTTTCTTGTCCAGTTGAACTTCTCTAGCTTTTAGTCGAGGGGATAGGGCAGTTGTGTGTGAGTAGTCTCCTGTGTTGAAATAACAATCTTAAATCAGAATTTTCCCCTACAATCAGTAGCTATCGCTGTAACGATGCTAGGGAGTGGGATGGATAACCTATCACTGATAGAGTTGTGAGGCTTTAAATGCGGATAGGTGCTGTAAGACATGAAGCTGATGCTATAAAAATAACTTCATTCTATATATTCTGTAAATATGATTTATTCAAGGTACTATAAGTGAGTACGAGTGTCTTTTCAAGTCACAGTCATCATCCCGTGACTACTTGGTAACTGTTTAGTGATGTCTGCTGTAGTATTCACGTAACCCTGTTTTGTGCAGACCTTCAGAATTATTTGTGCACAAGTTTGTGCGCGCTTGCTCACGTGGTAAATGTGATTTACAGAGAAATGACCAAAAAGAAACTATGTGGATACAGCCGCTTAATTAATTGTCGCTGCAGCTGTAATTTTTCATTCGCGTACCTGGATTCACTTGTAGAAAGTGATTCAAAGAAATCTGAACTTAAGATCCTTGTTTCAAAAGTCTCTAAGTGTTAGTAAAATATTCTGAGGTTTAAGATAACACTGTATCGTGTGATGCACAATAAACTAATTTTGATTCAGAGATTGGGACTTTTTATAGGCAACAACGGGGAAAAAATATTGAATATGGGCTATGGAGCGAGAGAGAATAATCGATAATCCATGGGGGGCCCACGGTGAGCCAGAGCAGAAGGAACTTGGCATTAATAGTTTACACACTCATTTAAGGAGCATTTATGTTCCCTAAATATTGGTGCAGGACAATATTAGTTGGGTCCAGAATGTCATCAGATTTCCCTGAAAGTATCGATGACTGCTGTCAGGTTGGGGATCATCTGAAAAACTAAACTGTTCAGACACATTAGCCTCCAAGAAATATAAAATGTAGTGAATTTCAAATTCTCTCGATGCTTGCTTTTTTAGAAAACTTCTTGCTAGTTAGAATAAAGTTTGTGAAAAATACATTTAAAGCATTCCCTTTCCTATGCAGGATTTAATTCACTGATATTTGACATGAAATTATGTGAATTCTATTTTAAAACTGAATTCTTCCTCTTTAGTTATAGGAACTCCTAATGGACCGGGACGTAATGTGGAATAAATTGTCTGTAAACGTGTAACATATTTTGTCTTGCTGTTAATTCACATCCTTTTTGTATGCTAATTGTCCTAAATTAATGAGCTCTCGCCATACTGTTAGAACGGGGCGACTCACCTCTTGCGTTGGAGGTTAAGCCTAGGAAATAAGGATGCATCTGCAGGAAAAACTAGCCAAAACTGTTATTTTGGAGAAGGTGTACTATCGTAGTCCTCTCTGAGGTCCAGGCTATTCAAACCAAGGCATTTGTGGTGGAGATGTATTGTCCTTTGAAAGACCATCTCACCACACTGGATAAAAATGCAGTACAGAGAACAATGTTTGTGTATACAATAAATAGTTATTGTATACAGTACAAGCTCTGCTTAGCTTTTCCATAAGGTCCTTATAGAAGCAGATTCTCCTAAACAGCTTGATTTAAAAAAATATTAAAAAAATAAAACTTTAAAAAAAATTTTAAAAAATCAAACTTTTAATTGTGTGTACTCTTTCTAATATTTAAGAATAAAAATTCTGCCTTGCCACTGGAGCTAATCCTGGTCTTTTATTGTATTGCATATGTGTTTCTTGCTATATCTGCTACGGTGCTGTGAATCTCTCTGTCCCTGGGCTGGGTGTCAGGGGTAATTAGCCACAGTTATACCCCATGCTGTCAGTGTGGCCTCCTGGATGTCTCGTTTTCCAGTGCCAGATCAGAAACGTTCTAGCTGCTGATAAAAGGCACGGAGATCACCGAATGGTATTTATGAAGTGTTGACTTGGCCATCTGGACCTGTTCTGATCTTAATTTATTTCAATGCTTAATCTTTGTTTGAACCCACAGGACTGCTTTTCTGTGGAAGGGGAGGACTTGAAGCATGACTTTGAGCGGTTACAGCTAGCCATGGAGATGGTGGGGTTTCTTCCCAAGACTCGCAGACAGTGAGTTTATTTTCCATATTGATAGCTTGAAGATTATATTAGTTAATATAACCTCCGTAATCGGTGAGATAATTCACCTGCCTTGAGCTAACATAACTGTTGTGCTCTACATAATATGTCAGGCTGGGGAGAAGGAGTAATTTGTGAGACACTGGAAGAAGTGTCCCAGAGAAGTTGTGGATGCCCCATCGTTGGAAGTGTTCAAGGTCAGGTTCTTTAGGACTTTGAGCAACCTGATACTGTGGAAGATGTCCCTGCCTATGGCAGAGGCTTGGACTAGATGATCTTTGAAGGTCCCTTCCAACCCAACCAACCCAAAATTTAAAAGTACAAACAAAACGTGCCAATCATTACTGTAGTTAACGATTCTCTTTATGCAAATGGAGCATTGGCACAAATTTGGCACTTGCAAGTATTTTTCAATCATTCATGAATAGTCATCCCTTACTCTGCATGTTATGAATCCAGACCCTGATTTAATCAGAAATTCTGATTATTAGTCATCATGCTCAATCTTTTGCATGTAAGTGTCGGTTCGGTAGACTCATTTCCAACTGGCCTTCGTTTACTAATTCAGTGGAAGTGCTGGTTGAAAAACTGGACTTCTTAGTTGGATTGCAATACCCCTTTCCATTGACTGCGAGGAATTACGTCGTCCTCAACCAAAACCACAAAATAATTCCTCTTGTGTTGACTGTTGGCTTGAAAGTCTCAAGTAGGTTTGAATGCGTTTGACAAACGTGTTACTTAAGGTTAGTAACAGGTGTAGAAAAACGAGTATTTAAAAAATGACCTCAAAGTGGGTGTGCTTTTGACGGTGTAAGTACTGCTGAAAAACACATCAGTAGCTGGAACACAATGAGAAATCTTGTGCTTTCTCGAGTCAAAAGGTTCAAACAATAACTTAGTGAACGTGGTTCATTCTCTCTGAAATCCTGGAGGTTTATGTGGGAACAGAGAATTACTGTTTTGAACTAATGGCACTTGAAGCCCTATGCATCACCTTGGGTAAATTACATTTAAGATGCTAACATATAACTTTTTTTTTTTTTTTTTTTTTGCAACAGGGTGGATTACCTCCTGTTCTTTTAGGCAACATTTTTCTTACTTTTTAACATGTATCTGAGCCACCAGTTAGAAACCCTTAACTGTGAGACATTGTCTGGCCTTCTGCTCCGACAAGAATTTTTCACCCAGCCAAGAATCTTTTTCATAAGCTCATCCTTTATCCCCAACTTGTAACAAATCAATTATGAATTGAGACTGCTTTTTCTCTACCTGTTCTACATGTATGGATAAACCCAAGTATATGTACTTCTAGTGTAAATATGTTATATGGCAGCGTGCTTCCTTATCTTTCAAGAATCGGGTTTCAGCGACAGGGTTTTTCTGAAGCCTATTTAGTGTGCAGTAAGGGAATTTAATGGACGGAGTAAAGCAATCAGTAAGTGTCGGGACTGAGCAGGGTCGCATGTCACAGTAAATTCATGCTTTTGATTTACTGTGCAGTAACTTTTCTTGGCGTGCAAGTTCTTGCATTACTCCTAGTGAATTTTGCTTGTCAAAAAATATAGTGAATTCTTTGCTATATGAGCAAATTTATCTGCTTGGCATTGTACAACTGTAACACGAGTAAGTAACCACCTTCAACTGACTATAAAAAGGAAGGACATTTGAGGTATTACTATACTTTTATAAGTGATTGTTTATAGCAAAACATGGGGTTTCACCTTTGTGGAAACAGTTACAGAAGACAAGTGTTTATAATTGCATCCCTGTAATTCATGATAAGGAATCGGTATCCTTATTTTAGAGATAAGGAAGGACGGCTTGGAGAGGTGAACGTGTGTTGTCCAGACGAGCTGGTGGCATGGCTAGGAATCAAATTTGATTTTATTCATTTTTAGCTCCCCGGAGAGTGTAGAAATAGGGACAAACAGAGTTTCTTGCTGAAGTCAGCCAGGACTTGACAGTCTTAAGAGCTACTTTTCTAGAAGGAGGGTTTTGTTGGGTTTTTTTGAGGAGTGAGGATATCACTTAAAAATGATAAAATAAAATAAAAAAAGGGCTGGATAAATTTACTTGAAGTGTAACATCTTTTCTCTGTCTCAATGTGTTTATATATTATAAAAGCATTTATACTTTTTTTGGTATAGGCTTTCTACCCAGGACTAGATCTGACAAGGTGATAAATGCATGTGCTAGGGGACGGAGAAGGATCATCTGCATGACTGAGTCTGGTCTCCTCCTTAATTTAGGCAATTGCATGATAAATACTTAATCTGAATATCTAGATTACTCAAGGATTTATTTTTTTCTTATAATATGGGGTGCCATTTTATAACCATGGGTTTGGTGCGTTAAATAATTTTCAAGAAAGCCGTACCAATGCAAGTTGGTACTTGTGAATGGTAGTAGAATTCACTTGGACTAAGTGAAACTATTTTTTACATGAGGCAAATTGGATGCTTTGTTTGAGCATCATTTTTGAGGAAACATTTGGAGATTTTGGACATAAGCTGCTTTGGATTGAAAATTAGAGGAATGAGTCAAATGCAAAGACGGTACTTGGATGTTTGGGGATGTGGTTTGCTTTTTCATTAGCTTTTAAGAAAAAACAACACAGCGGAAATGACTTCTCTCTGTTTTCTTTAGAATTTTCTCTCTCTTGTCGGCGATACTACACCTGGGTAACATCCGTTACAAAAAGAAGACTTACCGGGATGACTCCATTGATATTTGTAACCCTGAAATACTGCCTATCGTGTCAGACCTGCTGGAGGTAAGCCTTCACTTTCCATCCTGTAACGTTTACGCCTAATGAGCCACCTCTGTTGTATAATAGAATTTATTTCCAGTTTCACTGAAGGGAAGCTTCTCTTGTGCTACCATTAATATGGGCTGTTCGTGTTTGCCAGTGAGAAGTTATAAAAGATTTTTTAATGAGGTTTTAAATGGTAGGGTTTTTTCCCATGATTTTCAGCTTCAGGTTTAATTGACTGAAAATACGGTTTCTGTGATTAAAATTTGAAAGATTGCAAGCCAGTTCTAGATAGAATGAAAACCTGCCATTCAGCGCAGCGGTTTCTTTAATTGCCAACCGTCAGCTCCCTTACCCAAATTCCCTGATGCTCCTGAAATCTGTTCCAATATTTGTATGGGAAACTAGAGCAATTGTAAGACCATCAGCCCACTCTTCTGGTTCAGGTGGTGGCTGTAGGAGATGCTGAGCTCGCTCACCGTGTTTTGCTGTCTGTTGTTACCCTGCTAGCATCTACAAAGGTTGTATTAGAGATGCATCTCATCCCTTTAGTACCCATGGACCTGTTATCCATGCATTTATCTAGTTCTTTTGTGAACCTCTGGATGCTCTCTGCTGTTTAAGACCCTTTACTGAATGCACTTGGTCCACTCTGAGTCACTGCTGTGCCAGTATCATTTGGGAAGGGTTTGTGGGTCTCAGCCTGGATGGCCCAGGGCCATATCCAATTCTGTAAATCAGTGAAAAGCACTAAGTTCGTTCTTACGAGAGCTGCCCTGTTAGCCTGAGCAGCTAGGAGAAAAGTCTTCACTTCAGTGAGCCAGCTTGCCCTGCACTTGTTTTCTTCATTCAAGAGCAAAGGTCAAAATTAAAACCTCGTGACGTGGATATAGGTGACCAGAAGCTCTCCTTGCCGTCTCACTTTTCTTGAAACGCTCTAAACCACTTGTAACGTCAAAGGATGCCAAAATGTTATGCTTTTAGTTAAAACAGCTACTATCTCTATCCCTTCGTACTCGCTGGATGGTGTGGAACGTTGATTTTTTGCTAATTTTAAGATAACTTGTCATTCTGTGTACACATGCTGCTCTTCCCGTTCCTTCACTTAAATAATGGTTGTGCTATCTCGCTACCTAAAGAACTCGGGAAGTGGTCTCTCAGATTTTCATAGCACTTCATGAATGCGTTGAATTTGGGGGGGGGAAGCTTCTGTAAAATATGGGTATAAGCAGCTGGATGCTCTTTGCATCTTGGCCTTGGCGATTGCAGAAATAAACAGAAGGAAAATATGAGTTTGGAGGGGAATGTTGTTGATTTTACCCTCTTAAAAATGGCCGTAGTGAGAGCGCCAAATCATTTAAGAAGTAATTGTTTTTTAAAAAAGCTTTGAATAAGAGAGTGACTTAGAGATCTGAAAATGTTCCAGGCTTTGGGTCTTTGCCCTGGCTTTCTTCTGCAAACACGCTCTTCTGCAACATCTGCATGCTGTAAGGTATCGGGTTATTTTTTGCATGTGTACATGTGAAATGATGCGTCGGTTGAGCCTTACAGATCCAATGGTGGCTTAGTGCCACGGTCTGGTACAGCACAGAGCATGGATGCCATGCTTATTTGCAGATAGTGTCAACAATATGTAAAAAAAAAAAGTTTTTATATATGCATATGTATATTTAACTTCACCATTTTGAAGAAGCACTAGAACCTGGTGTAGCTGAGCAAAGTGATAGATCGCTGTTCATCTTGGTAATTTTTTGCAAGCT